TAAAGTGGCAAATTATTTCTGAATAACTAAAGAAACTAACCTAAATGGTTTTAAGACACTGGCACTAGTTAAAAAGAAATGAACTTGGCAGCCTAATTAAAACTACTAGTTTAAGATCATTGTCTACGGAGTAGAAGAAAAGGGCTTTTACTGGCAGAATTGTGGGTAGGAGGGGGGAGAAAGTTAAAAATGTGCACAAAAGCCCCAACAGAGACATCAAGGATGGTTTTTAGTGGTGCGCTATAAATATTTAACAACGTGCACTACGGGGAAAATCATTGACTTGTAGTGTTTGCCAATTTCCATGGAGAAAATACTCCCTCTGTGGTCAATTTCAAGCTACCAACGTATGTCACTGAGAAAGAATTGGGAAGAGTGGCACTCCGTTTACTCTCATGAGCCGATATGAGCCAGCTCTGGCATATTATGTTTTTACTAGAATTTCAAATGTTCATTCCCTTTTTAAAAATAGGTGTAGAAAGTCTAAATGCATTTTTGAAATGTTTGATTGCACACTATCCTTCATTTATCACAGTTACTTACTCAGAATTAAATCCACTTTATTTTCAAGGCCACTCTGTGTTTAAGCCGTCTGATCACACAGGGCCAGAGTTCAAAACCTGGCTTTTATAATCTCTGACTATACGACTGGGGCACTTACTTTAATGTATCTGTGCATCAGTTCCCTCTTCTTCAAGGTAAAGACGATGACAAGGTTGTCATGCAGATTAAATCGTTGATAAAGGAAATGCACTTAGAGTAGCGCCTGACACATTGTGCATCTTCAATTAAAGTTAACTGTATTTTTCACACATTTGCCACTGTCTTAATGATGGTTGAGGGATGAGGGGATATAGGAAAGCCACTATTAAAGATGCAGAGAAAATGCACAAGGAAGGGAAAGCAAAACGGATTCAGACTCACAGATGTCCGTCAACCTCCAAAGGTTTGGGGAGGACTTGTACTTAATATTCAAGAAATGTTACTGTATACTGTTTTTCTCCTTTCTGGAGAAATAAATTTGGCACAGTTTTGTCATTTCATGTCCTAGTTCAGGACTTTAATGATGTTAAATATATCCGTTCTAGATTGCCATCTGGTACACTTCTTTAAATATTCTCCTTATGCACCTCGAGTGGAAACTTAAAAAAGATGTCTTAAGACATCATACCAATATGTCTTTAAAAATCGTATGATTTAATTTTCCATGTTTTTTTTTTAATCTGAGAAGAAATAGTCACTCCTTCTGCCCCTCCATTTTGCCCATGAACTGATACGGTAGATGAATTATGTTGGTTATTCTACTCTTAAAAGGTCCCCTCCACCTGCCAGCCCCTGCTCTAAGAGGATCCATTCACTTTGGACAAATGAACATTCATTAGTGCTTTCACTGAAAATATAGTCTGTTAAGTAGTGTACCTGATTCAAAGGTAAGTAAGAAGGCCCCATTCCCATCTTCTTAATTGGCTTAGAATTGTGTAAGGGAGACAGATAATTATACAAATAATTAGAAGAAGGAGAAACTAGGAGAGAAGGAAGAAAATGAGAATTGTAGCTTGTCTGGAAAAATAGCCAGTTAGTATAATTCCAATGTGGAAGCTGTATTTTTTTAAAATCTTATCAGGTCCAGTGGCACCTATGGCTCAGTGAGTAGGGCACCAGCCCCATATTCTGAGTGTAGTGGGTTCAAACCAGGCCCCGGCCTAACTGCAACAAAACATAGCCGGGTGGTGTGGTGGGTGCCTGTAGTCCCAGCTACTGGGAGGCTGAGGCAAGAGAATGGCCTAAGCCCAAGAGCTGGAGGTTGCTGTGAGCTGTGACGTCACAGCACTCGATTGAGGATGACGAAGTGAGACTCTGTCTCTAAAAAAAAAAGAAAAAAAATCTTATCAGATCCTTGATTGATAAGAATGACTCCTTTGAAATCCAGGATGGAAGTGAGCTTACTCAGACCCAGTATTATTTATACTAAATGATATGACCAATGACGTGCATATTAGAAATCCCTGTGGATCGTAAACCATATCACTACTGCACTGTATTCAAGCTGTCTTCTTCCTGGTCATCGTATCCTCTCCTAAGGTTTCTAATTACCTTGAAAACTCCTTAGCAAATTTCTCTTCTTCTATCCACCTTTTAAATATTGATTCTAGGGTAAGCATATAGTAAGTCCTTCAAGTATCTGTGTAATGAATTCATTGAGAATAAAGTATTTAATTTTTTAAAATTTATATTAATTGACAAATAATTTTGTGTATTTATGGGATATAATATAATTATTTTGATCTATGTAGACAATACCAAAAGGTTCGATCAAACCAAAAATGTATCCGTCACCTCATCAACTTATTTTTTCAGTAAGAAAATTAAAAGTCTATTCTTTTGAAATATACAGTCCCTTTTTATTAGCTGCAGTCATCTGCCAACCTACTAATTTAGTAATTGCTTTGGAAAGACTCTTGAGCTATGAGGAGTTAAAAAAATAAAGTAGCAGGTAATGTGATGCTCTTTCCAGGTTCCAATCATAAGTAAGTCATTTCAAAGCTTCAAGAAGTTTGCCTTCAACACAGACTTTTGAATTGAGTTTGGAAACCACATATCCTAAGGGTAGTTAGGATTAGGGGATTGTCCACATGAATTTTCTCTGTATTGGGAAAAACAAAATTATCAGACTGCAGGTGTTTTAGGCTGCAGGTCCCAGAAAACTGAAGTTATAATACCTTAAAGTCAAAATCCCATGTGGGGAGAAGATGGAGGGAAGATGTCCTGATTATCAATCTGGAAGGAAAGGATACAGGTTGCTAGTGTCCGTACAGTTCCTGGCATGTACAAGGTCCTCATAGTTTCTTTCTATCTTCTGTGGGCCAGAAAGGAAAGGCTAAAGTAGTTATCAAACGTAAGTTTTCAAGAGCACAATATATTCAAGGGTAGTTAATGTTGACATCCTTTCCTATGTGATTTTACAATGTAAGTTTCATTGTTAAAATGATTACTCAGTTTTTTGAATTGAACTGTTGTCTAATTCACATTTAAACAAACAGTGATAAAAACCTTTGGGGAAAATAAAAATGTTGACCTTTCAGAACAAACCGCAGATAGTTCATTGACTTTTTTTAACCATGGAAAAATCACTTAACCTCCCAGTGTCAGTTTACCCATCTGTGAAATGAGAAGGATATTTTCTTACGGGGATGTTTTGAAAATTATTTTGCAAATGTAGTGGATGAAATTGTTGCAAGCGTCACTGCCCTTTTTCCACTTCTTTAAAGAAGCACACGGCATTATTTATGTACCAGTTGATAATCGAAATGACATCTGGGTTGAACTGTGTATGTATATTTTTATTAGCAGTTGCGTGCTTTTTATTACTTAAAGAATTACTCCGAGATCGCTCAATTTATGCATTATGTCAATACCAGAGAATCTGAAAAAGTGTCTTAAAACCATTTTGAGCTTCATATTTATTAGCTGCTAATGTCTGGTAATTATTCTTTTTTTTAGATAATGTTTTCTCTGATGTGGTTTTTCGCCTCACCTCACTTCACAAGATTGATAGTTCTCCACATCACCCTGCTAGAGGTCACCTCTGAGCTGAAGGCAAAACACATCCCACTCTGGCTCCTGTTGACTTTCAAGTCAACTATCAAAGAATTTATTCCAGACATCTCCTAACCTCAATTTAAAAACTCCACCCTAAAGATTACAGGGGGATATCCTGGAGAGTTGCCATAGTGACTCTAAGAGGTTGGCATTGAGGAGACAAAGCTACTGATATCAGATTTTTTACTTGATAGGCCTAATTATATAAGGTGGTCATGAACCTCTGTGCTTGTGTCATTTAGATCTGGAAAGAAATTTTCCCCTCCAGGCTCTTCTGTCTCTTATGGTGCCAATCAACAAGCTTCTTAGTAATAAGGTTCTTATGCCAATAGTTCCAACGTAACCTCAAGTGGTGCTTGTAATAATGATAAAATCATCACAAAAACTAAAGAAAAAAAAAGAAAGATATTTCCTGGGTGTGAGTAAGTCATTATAATGTTCTTCCATATGGAAATTATGCTTGACTTAATGAACTATCTTGTTTACAGATTAGTGTTTTAACCTGGCTCTAGAAAGTCATTTTTACCCATGTTGATCATTGTTCTGAGCCATGCATGAGCGTATCTTCAGATCATCTTGGTGGAGTGAAATTTATGTATTAAGTTCTACATGCATGAATTTTGTTTTAATGATAAGAAGTGCACTTAATAAGAAAATTTATTATATGAATTACTTTAATAAATTAATATGATACTTAGGAAAATAAAAAAAACTTGATTATGTATAATTGATGTCCAAATTAACCAGGGTCACTTTAAAAATAAGCATCTTTGTGATTATAACAAATATGTAGAAAGAGTTGATATTACCTATATCTCCTGGTTTAGAGTAATCACTTTAGGTGTTTAATAGATATTCTACCAAATGAACACTTTTTACAGAAGACGCACAGTGTTTTCTCCAACATATGTTATATTTCTAAAAACAGCTACCTCTGTAAGAAACCCTGGCGAAACAGAATTTTTTTTTTTTTTATTTTCTTTACCAGAAATTGAGTCTAAACATTTATAGAATTTCCCAGGGAAGTATTTTATGTTTTCTCTACTGCTTTAGAGATTCCTAAATCCAAGTCTAATACCATATAATTAATGCAAAACCTAGAGATATTAGTGATTATCGGATTATTATTTGCATATAAATCTTTATGTGTGCCTGAGAGAAACAGAAGATTTTGTAAACATATAAGCAAATATAAAAGAGTCTTGATTGCATGTCAATACTGCTGTTCTCTGATTAAGGACTTTCAATTATTTTTCTCTTTTGTAATATATAGTTTGGTTGCTGATGTTTGGCTGATTTAAATTTTATTTTGAGGGAGCAGTTAAGTCCAATGTTGATCTTGGGAAGTTAATCATTTTTTGACTTTCATTTAAACAACGTTTTCTTTAATCCCCTTTTAGGCAGCCAAGGGCAGTTCCCACTAACACAGAACGTAACAGTTGTTGAAGGAGGAACTGCAATTTTGACCTGCAGGGTTGATCAAAATGATAACACCTCCCTCCAGTGGTCAAATCCAGCTCAACAGACTCTCTACTTTGATGACAAGAAAGGTGAATACATTTTCTTTTGAATGTTTTAATCATATTCTGAAATATCCTAATTATAATAAATTTATTTTTCTGAGATGATTCAAATTATTCCTTTTGATTACCAAACTACTGCTGCTTGTATTTAAACATCTTAAATATTAAATACTTTAGTTTGCAAGTCATAAACACTAAAGATAACCTATGTCAACTTTTTAATAAAATAAACAGGTCTAATTCTGTTTCAGAAATAGGTTTATGCTTTCTCTTACAAGGCAGCTTCTCTCTGGATAGAATATTTTTTCATTCGTATAACTGCCTTGTGTATAGATTGAATTTTTTTTTTATTACTGGTAATAATATAGCATTTTTATTAACTTTAGTTTCATAAAGGTATAATATAATTTTGGGAAGTTTGATGGTTTTTTATCATGAATTGCATCTGAAAGAAATAATTGCAGAAATAATTCTCATAATAATGTTACATAACTTCATTTTCCAAAATAAACTAAAATTAAGAAAGAAATTATATTTCTGAAAGTGGAATTAGACTTTTTAATTGATTTTAGCTTCTAGTTTGCTAACATGTAGATTGAGCAAACTTTTCTAAAATAGTAAGGAAATCCACGTTGTGTAATTCAAACAAACAACTAAAAAGTTACACCAAATTTCTACACCTGCATCTATTGTTATAATGTTTAAAATTGTGCATAAACTGTGATGAAAATACAGGATTGTTACTTTAGAAAAATTTAATTATCTAGGATGTAAATATCTATTTTTAAATTAGCTTCTCAGCGTAGTGTTAATATTTGGGTTTTATGAATCTATGTAGATAACAGTAAAAATAATTTATTGATAAAAATCAGTTGCTTTTTTTCCATTAAAATGTAGTCAAATACAGTCTGGTAAATACATGCCAGTTCACCTGAAACATTCATTACATTTTGTTCATTGCTATGGCTTTTCCTTTTTGATAAACTCTAGATTTAAATAAATCTTTCATTTGTTTTAAATGTTAAATATATGATGAAGAACTGATTAAATGTCTAATCCATTGATTTGACAAACATACGTATATTGAGTACCAAGTATTAAAGTTAGAGAACAAAAAGATAAGACACTCTGCCTTTTTAAACCAAACAGCCTAGTAGAGGAGACAGACGATAAACAAAGACACAAGCAATATCTATGTTAGAGTCCATTGGTAGGGGACAAGTTTTATGAAGAAAAATGAATCAGGGATGGAAGGTACGTTAGAGTTCTCTAGCAAAATGAAAACAGGAGGGTGAACAGATAGATATGTGATAGAGATTTATCTTAAGAAATTTGTTCAAGTGACTGTGGAGGTTGGCAACTTTGAAAAACTCAGGTCAAACCGGCAGGCTGGAGCCTCAGGGAAGAGCTTATGTTGATGATCAAGTTCAAAGGCAGTATGGAGGTGCCATGCCTTCTTCCTCAGGGCACCTCAGACTTTCTCCTAAGGCTTCAACTGATGGAATAATGAGTGAGACCCACCTACAATAAAGAGATAATCTCCCAATTTAAAAGTCAACTTCACCTAAATATCATAGCAACATCCAGATTGGGATCTGACCAAATAGCTTGGGTGCTATGGCCAAGCCATTTTGACACATTAAAAATATACATATATATATATATTAAACATCACAGAGGGTGAGTTATGCCTGGTATCTCTGAAAAACTTTATTATTTTGAGTTTTGATTTACACTGATTTAATTTGCCATCTTGGAGACAAGTAAATAGATGTATCTACTGGCCAAATTTTCACAGAAGCACATGAAAGGAAGGGGTTCAAGTTCTCACGACTGTATAGGCCAAACTTTAAGCAAATACTGTGACTCCACATATCTGGTTTGATTAGAGGCCTTGATGATGAAGTCAGGCATGTTTAACAGAGACCTCTAGTCACAGAGCTAATGTTTTTATTTTTATTTGTTTGTTGCTTTAGAAGTGTTTTAAAAAGATACAAAATGGATTCTAAATTGTTTATTTGCTAAACACTCCCTATAGCACTGTCTATGTAATTTAGATCCTTAGTATTAACTAGTTAATGTTTCTGATTTTGGCCTTTTATATCATATTTAAAAAATTTTTAAACACATTTATTGAAACTATAAAGTGTCTGTTAACAATTTGGGAAGTAACAGGAATATCTAATGTGATTTTTAAAGCCTTTTTAAAGAAAGAATATTCAAGTATAAGCTATTGATTTTATAATTAATTAACTGCTTTAAAATTTCAAAACCATAACCACTTAAACTAGTTTTAATTCTGGGTATATAGAATGAAAATGAAAATTATATAGGTAGAAAATAAAGCTTGAAGACATTTTTGGTTTATTCATTTTTTTATTTCAAAATATTCTATAATTGGTTATATAATTAGCTTTTCTACATATCAGGTCAAAGTTCTAAGTGTGGCCTTCTCCCAGAATGTGTAACTAATTGAAAAGGTTTTTTATTTCACTGATTTCTAGCATTAAGCAGGTCTTAGCTTAATCATGCAAACATTATACAAGCTTTATGACTTGACTTTGACCTTAGTGCTTTTGAAACAGAGAAGTTACCTGGGTGGGAGGCTCATGCCTATAGTCCTGGCACTCTGGGAAAGCAGAGGCAGGAGGATCCCTTGAGTTCAGGGGTTCAAGAGCAGCCTGAGCAAGAGCGAGACATCACCTCTACCAAAAAATAGAAAAATTAGCAAGGCATTATGGCAGGTGCCTGTAGTCCCAGCTACTTGTGTGACTGAAGCAAGAGGATCAACTGAGCCTAGGAGTTTGAGATTGCTGTAAGCTAGGCTGACACCGCAGCACTGTAGCCTGGGTAACAGGGTGAGATGCTATCACAAAAAATAAAACAGTTAAAAAAAGTGCTGGTGTTCACTTTGTTTTTAAATCCCTCACGGTGTAGGGAAGTGTTTTGTGTTGCTGTTGCTGATGTCTTAAATCAAGTAATCTGTGTTGCTTTCTGACAAATGAAGTCCTATTAATTAAAAAAAGAAAGCATAGCAAAGTCAAAGAGATTTAACAATATTTTTGTTTCTAGAATTAGATTACAAATATCAGCAAATAAATATTGACAACATATGTCCAAATATGATGTAACAACAATTTTAATGAAGATTTGCCTCATTATATAATGCAAAAGAAAATGTTTTAGGGAAAATAGAAAACATTTTAAAAATGTTCAGGGACAATTAAATTTACAGTTACACTATTTAACTTATCACTTTGATTACTTATGTACTATTTAAAGTAAGATAAATTACCTTATTTTAGAAATCTTACTTTTATCCATCCCTGTGTCTACTGACACAATCTTGCTTAGTAGCAATTTTTGAATGTATAACATACTATCAACAAAAAATTTGTCCCAAGAAAATGCTGTGAGTTTTTATAACACTAGAACATTTTTTGTTCTTCATTCATCCTGCTGTTGTTAAATAACAATCTGCAGTTTGTAACAACCCTTGCACTGCTTTTTAAGGAGAACTTTGAGAGTCATCTTTACAGTAACATCTATAATTGTGAGGTCAAATCCTCAGGCATAAGGACAAAATCTATATTTAATGTCCTTCTCTCCTCTTTTAGTGACTTTATAAGTTATCCACTAAAAAAAATCAAAAACAAAAATTGATTTGAGGTATTTCAAGCAACTACATCCTTCCTGCAGAAAATAGGGAAAAACTTATGATACAAGATTTTCAGACTTGGAAACAAACCAATCCTCTCTTTTCTGAGGGATAATTTAGGGAGGAAAAAATAAACATGGAATATTTGGGTTATAACAGAATTGTATTCCTATATTCCTGCATTTTTATACCTTCACAAAATAGGAATTATTGAAGTATATACTTGCTTAATTTAATTTTCCTTTTTGTAATGATATAACAGTTAATTAGGCTGAAAAAAAAAAAGTGAGTGTGTGTGTGTGTGTGTGTGTGTGTTTAAGAGACAGAGTCTCATTTTGTTGCCCTAGGTAGAGAGCTATGGTCACAGCTTACAGCAACCTCCAGCTCTTGGGCTTAGGTGATTCACTTGCCTCAGCCTCCCAACTAGCTGGGACTACAGGCACCTGCCACAATGCCCGGCTATTTTTTTGTTGCAGTTTAGCCGGAGTCAGGTTTGAATCCTCCACCCTTGGTATATGGGGCCAGCGCCCTACCCACTGCACCACAGGTGCCACCCTGTGTATGTGTTTTGTATAGCAGGTTTGTGTTTTCCTTTTTCTTTTTTTTTAGAGACAGAGTCTCACTTTATCGCCCTCGGTAGAGTGCTGTGAGATCACAGGTCACAGCAACCTCCAACTCCTGGGCTTAGGTGATTTTCTTGCCTCAGCCTCCCAAGTAGCTGGGACTAACAGGCAGGTTTGTGTTTTAGTGTTATACTTTTTCTCACCATATTGTTCCAATTATCAGTTGCAGTAAAATCATGGAAAGTACTAATAAAGAAATTCTTTCAAAAATAGCTATCTAATTTGTCTATCCCCTCACCTGTCAGAAGTTCAATTGGTATGTGATGCTTTAGTTGAAAGGACCCTTGGTCAGTGATGTCCACCAAATGCAAGAGAAAGGAGATGCCAGAAACATTTTTTAAATTTTTCATATCACAGTTTTCTACATCATTTTAGCTGCAAATACTTGCTTATCCCTCCCTGATTTTAAGACTTACCTTGAGTAAACACAAATGACACATTGTGCCGGGGCCTCAGTTGAGCTCTCAGCATGGGTGCCAGCAGTGTTTCCCACCTTCTTCATCTCACTGCACACTGGAACCTAGAAGCTCCTGTGCCACACTTAAACCGTGTTGATTCGTCTACCCGCCCTATTCTTTGTGTCTCTGATTATGTTGCCAGCCCTCATTACACAGTAAAATCACCTGAAGAACTTTCAAAACTGGGTCTTTCAGTGTAATGCAGTTATCAGACATTTAATTATGTCTCAACTGATTATAAAATAAATATAGTTGAGGTTGAGATAGTTTGGGTTAAGCAAGTCAAGT